AATAATTTCAGAAATGAATTTCTACATCTGAGAATGACTGGAGCACTCCACAACTCTGTAGGCTGCCCCACCTACAGTCATGCAATCCAAGCCCAGTAACCTCATCTGTGACAAGGTGGTGAAAGCAGGGATATGAAATCGTGAGGTGACTAAGACTAGAACACCCAAAAATTTTAGGTGCCCCTATGAATGTCACTGCATGGCTGGGGAACATCCACTACATGTACCGTATAAGGCCTGTGAAATCATTTGGTGTGACCCTGCCAAGGCAGTCGCAGGAAAGACTCAAAATTCAATAAATCTATAGCAGGCTAATTTTAAGTTGATAATTTTGTATAGCCTACGAATGATGCTATAAATATCTAAGTGGCCCTTGGCAGAAAAAAGTTTTCCCATTCTTGCAGAGGGAAGCAGGGAATTTATATGTAGCCAAATGATAAAACTCCTTCAGGAAGACCAATTAGGATGAATCTGTGTGCTTTGGTTAGAGGTTATTTGATATGGCCTGAGCAGAGGCAAAGAATGATAGACCTGGAAGAGACTATAATCTTGAAACTCAAACAATGTTTTTATTTCCTCTTTAGAAAATTGATATTTTTTGCTTTTTGTTTTGAAATAATTGTAAAAGAAATTTACAAAGAAATGTACAGGGAGATCCTGGGTGCCATGCACCATGCTCCCCAAAAGTTGATATCTTGCAACTATAGTACAATAACAAGACCTAAGAAATTGTCAGTGGAACAATCTACAGAACTGACTCGGATTTCACAATCCCACTTAGTCCTTATTTTTTTTCCAGAACTATCTTGTTTTCTTGTAGCTTCCTGTATCCACCTTTTCTTATTCACCTGGCTGAAAAGAAATATGTACCTGTTCTTTATGAATAGATGGATACTGGATAAAAAACGAACTCTCATATATTCCTTTCCAGGGATACAAAGCTATACTTTACAGGCAAAAAATATAGTTAACAGAGGAAACATAACGCACGTATGTGTCAGTGCTACTTTCTAGTTTTTAGAAAAATGAGGGTCGTGGGTATTTGGAGTAAGGTGTTTCTGGCAGGACGTGCTACAGGAGAGGGAGAGACATGAAAAACTATGCCTGCTTTCCTAGGAGGTAGGAAAAGATCGTCAGCTAAGAGTCAAGACAGATTAGAGTAGTGGACATCAACTTTGAGTATTTAAATCCAAGTGAAAATGGGGTTAGACGTTATTTGAAAATGATTTGAATGTACATTTCTTATTAGAAAATACATGTATTTTGGTGATAGAAGCTTAAGAAAATGCCAATAAACAGAAAGAAAAAAATCATGAGAAAATAGAAAATCAAAAAAGAAGCTGTCCAGTAAACATTATTCTACCTCCCAGAGATAACACCGAGAGTGCCTTGTAAATGTTTTCTGATGTTTTCCAGTATTTTCATTTATCATAAACCCCTGTCCATGTAATGAGATTTTCTTCTGTAATAGCATACTTATGGCCTTGTAGTCTCCTGTTGTGTAGAAGTCTCATTGTATAAATTTATCAACAAAAGTGCAATATATATTGCACACCTCTGGATGCATCTTTGCCAAGGTGCCCTCTACATGATTATGGAGAGGATTTGGACCGGCCATGTCTTTACTGACATGTGTACAAGTCATTTACCAATTAATCTACCCCGATGGTTGTCTTTCTTTGATATTATCATTCTTATTTGTGTGTTCATTTATTTATTTATTTGAAAGGCAGAGGCAGAGAGAGAGAGAGTCTTCCATCTGCTGTTTCACTCCCCAAATGCAACTGGCTGAAACTGGGCCGATCTGAAGCCAGGAGCCAGGGGCTTCTTTCGGGTCTCCCATGCACGTGCAGGGGCCCAGCACTTGGACCATATTCTACTGTTTTCCCAGGCCATAGCAGAGTTGGAAGAGGAGCAGCCGGGACTTGAACGGGCGCCTATATGGGATGCTGGCACTGCAAGTGGCAACTTTACCCGGTGTGCCACAGTGCCGGTCCCTGTGTGTTCATTTTTTATACTGATTTTTGATACAAAATTTGGTGTAACAAATAAGAAGAAACGATATGTAATAATCATGGAAAAAGCTTCTACCTGCACTGTACCATGAAGCCTATTTGAGGAAATACATGGGAGCTCAATATGACCTGCATTTGTTAATTTAATTAGGCATGATAATATTGTTATAAGGACTCAACTAATTCTTTTTTGCAGGAAGAGTACGTTGTACCTCAAGAATATAACAAATTAGTGGCTATGTTTAAATTAGCCTGTGGCATTTCTAAGAAATTCTCTGACTAAACCAAATGATAACAGAATCTGTGTTCATTGATCACCTGCTGTGTAACATGTTAAATGTGCATCAGTTCATTTCTTAAGATAGTACTCCAGATATTTATGGTATTACACTATTTCACAGAAAAAAAAAAAAAGAAGTAGGCACAGAGGGCAATAATTAAGCTGGGGCTAAACAGCAAAAAGTGGTGAAGCTGGGGTGGGAACAGGTTGTCTGATTGGAACTCACACTCTTTAAATTATTTTTTAATTTATTTGAAAGACAGAGTGACAGAGAGGGAGGGAGAGGAGACAGAGAAGGATCTTCCATCCTCTGGTTCATTCCCCAAGTGACTGCAATGGCCAGGGCTGGGCCAGAGCCGAGACAGGAGCCAGGAGGTTCTTCTGAGTCTCTTATGTGGGTGTGGGGACCATCTTCCACTGATTTCCCAGGCATGTCAGCAGGGGACCAGATAGGAAGTAGAGCAGCTGGGAATTTTTTTTTTTTATTTTTTTTTATTTTTTTTTTTTTTATTTTTGACAGGCAGAGTGGACAGTGAGAGAGAGAGACAGAGAGAGAAAGGTCTTCCTTTGCCGTTGGTTCACCCTCCAATGGCCGCCGCTGCAGCCGGCGCACCGCGCTGATCCGATGGCAGGAGCCAGGATCCAGGTGCTTTTCCTGGTCTCCCATGGGGTGCAGGGCCCAAGCACCTGGGCCATCCTCCACTGCACTCCCTGGCCATAGCAGAGAGCTGGCCTGGAAGAGGGGCAACCGGGACAGAATCCGGCGCCCCGACCGGGACTAGAACCCGGTGTGCCGGCGCCGCAAGGTGGAGGATTAGCCTATTGAGCCACGGCGCCGGCTCGCAGCTGGGAATTGAACTGGCACCCAGATGTGGTGCTGGCATTGCAGGTGGCTGGCCCCCACACTCACTCTTTTTTTAATTTTGTTTTTTTGGCTTTTTTTTTTTTTGACAGATAGAGCTAGACAGTGAGAGAGAGAGACAGAGAAAGGTCTTCCTTCCGTTGGTTCACTCCCCAAATGGCCACTGCAGCCAGCGTGCTGCACCGATCTGAAGCCAGGAGCCAGGTGCTTCCTCCTGGTCTCCCATGTGGGTGCAGGGCCCAAGGACTTGGGCCATCCTCCACTGCCTTCCCAGGCCACAGCAGAGAGCTGGACTGGAAGAGGAGCAACCGGGACAAGAACCGGCGCCCCGACCAGGACTAGAACCCTGGGTGCCGGCGCCGCAAGCAGAGGATTAGCCTAGTGAGCCACGGTGCTGGCCCCACACTCACTCTTAACCACTATGGTTGAAGTACCTACATTGAAAGTTGAATTTATGTTGATTCTAACTTTGTCACTCCAGTAGCAAAAGAGTGTTTACATTACTGAATATGATGACCATTTCCACAATACAATTGACAAGTAACATACAGTCCACAGTGTTGAATGCCAGCTCCTCTTCCAGAAACATGTTTGCTTGTCTTTTAAAGAATGAAATGACTGAAGGCAGATCTAATTTAGGCCTTGGGAAGATATATTTTAGACTGCATTATAGAGTATTATCCAGAAAGGCAGGTAAGTTATGGTCTAGTAATTAAAAAACAAAAAGAGTATATGAGGGGCCTTAATAAATGTCATGGGTAAGGGGAATTGAAAGGTAACACACATACACACATTTTCTGTGAACCTTTTTTAAGGATTTATTTATTTATTTGGAAGGCAGAGTTACAGAGAGGCAGAGGCAGAGGCAGAGAGAAAGAGATCTTTCATCTGCTGGTTCACTCCCCAAATAGCCACAATGGCCAGAGCTGAACCAATCCAAAGCCAAGAGCCAGGAGCTTCTTCCAGGTCTCCCACATAGGTGCAGAAGCCCAGGGACTTGGGCCATCTTCTACTGCTTTTGCAGGCCATAACAGAGAGCTGGTTTGGAAGTGGAGCAGCCAGGTCTTGAACCGGTACCCATATGGGATGCCGGCACTACAGGCCAAGGCTTTACCCAATACACCACAGTGCTAGTCCCTCTATAATATTTTGAAGGCCTCTTGTGCAAATGCCTCACTAGAAAGTTCAAACATTAAGGAGCAATTTGAAGATACATAAGGTCTGAATTTGTGTTTGATAACAGATGAATTGTTTCTCAAGATACTGAATTCTTCTTGAGAATGAAGAAACTGCCATCTGTTAGAAAAGCATTGTAGAATCAAGGTTGAGAACATGAGCTACGGAGTCAGACTTCCTGGGTCTACCACTGACTAGACATGCAATCTTGGGAAGCATTCTTGGCCTCACTAAGCCTTAGCTTTCTGTTCTGTAGAGTGAACTTGCTAACAGTCCCACTCCTTAGAGTTGTTGGGAGGATTAAATGGGAAATGCATATAAAGCAGATAGCACAGTGCCTTGCATATATAATGTTGAATAAATGTTAATGAATATAATTGCTCTTAATGATTATTGCTGGACTGTCACACTGTCCCTAAATACACACAATCCTAATCAACTTCTGGTTGAAGGACACTCGTCTTATAGGTGGCTAACCAGATCAATGCTGATTCTCACGTCCAAGCAGAGAGAACTCTTTTCCCAGTTTTTCTCTTCAGCCTTAGAAATACTTTACTGTATTCCATGGTGTCTCCCCCTTTAATAGTAAAAGATAAGATGTACGCAAAATTTTTGAAAATATGTTCTGGCCTGTGGTTTATATTAATGAATGGCTTTTATTCTTCAGGTCAGCTTCTGGAAGCTGCCGGGTATTATGAGACATTCCATCAATTGACACAGGGGCGGCTATGGAAGGATGAGACAGGCCACATCCTCAACTTGCTGGCCTGTGAGAGTCTCCTGAGGACTTACAGATTACTCTCCGACAAGATGCTGGAGAATAAAGAATACAAACAGGCCATCAAAATTCTAATAAAAGCTACTGAAATAGCCAAAGAAGGTGGGTGGAAAAGAACGTTCTCGCATTGCTCTCTTTAATGGGCAGACACTGGTTCTCCCAAGGGGCAAGTAAAAATGGTCAAGTGTTAGGGTGAGTATTTCCTATGAAATGCAAAGACAAATGCCATCAATTTAGTTTCAAATTTGACTGTAAAACAGAGTTGCCTTACTGCTGACAACAGGAAATCCGTTTCTTGAAAGCTTTGTCTCCAAAATTACAATCCATCTACTGGGGTGATGCTGTAAAACAAGAAATCCACAATAAGAAGTTAAGATTATCTGTACAGGATAAGGGTATGTGTGTGTGTGTGTGTGTGTGTGTGTGTGTAAGGTTTTATATTTCTTGCAATCTGAGAGATCTGTGTAAATTCCCTGTTGTCAGGTATAGATGAAATATGATAAATACTTAGGAATAATGGGAAAATGAGACTCTAGTAAAGAATAGACCTTTGCCTCTTAAAATGTGGCCTTCAGTCCAGAAGTACAAGCACCACCAGGAGCATGGTATGAAAGCAGAGTCGCAGGGCCCACCCCAACCGTACAGTGTTAGAATCTGAAAGTCAGCAACATCCAGGTGCCTCATGGGCACCTTACAGCAATAAAGGTGCTCTTGTGAGAGCTGGCCATATCTTTAATATTGGTTATCTTTTGCATAGATACATATAATATTTTTTAATTTTAACATATTCTTACAAACTTTCATTTTGTGAAATGCAAGGACTTTTTTTTTATCAGATAATGATTTATCAATAGAGTAGCTTTTCCACTAAGGAGAAAAAGAAACTACATTTATGAGCTAAAGTTTATTAGCTCGTGGCTATATTTGTTTGTTTGATTGGTTTATCAAGTAATAGATGGCTTCTTTACAGTAAGTCAGACTAGGTTTCTGGGTGTGATTTTAATTGACTACAGAATAAAAGTAAGCATCTTGTTCTCTCCATTACTTCTTCTTTTCCTCTTTTTTTCTTTTTCCTTTCTTAAATCACTTCTTTAATAGTATTAGTTGAAATACTCATAGGAAATCATTCCCACTGAAAGATGTTTCCCATTAAATGAACTTCTTGTAAATATATAGTGATCTTGTACTTTCCCCTTAAGAATACTGATATAGTTAGCACTGAGATCAATTTCAACAACAAATTGTCCTCATGTGGAAAGTTATATGAAATTTCAATATAAAGGCCTCCATAAATTAGGAAAAGGTTTATGACTTCAGGCTCCCATCTGCTAAGTTGTAAGGTAGTTCACAAGGAAAAGAAGGTTCCTCCACAGTATCCCCCATACCCATGAGCAATCACTCCCTGTTAGCTCTTTCTCCCAGCTCCTGGAAACCACTAAGCTGTGTTCTTCCGTTATGGATTTACCTATCCTGAATAGTTCATTTAAATGAAATCATACAATGTGTGTCTAGCCTCTTTCCCTTAACCTAGTGTTTTCAAGCTTCATCCATTTTGTGTCATTTCTTCATTTCTTTTCATGTCTGAATAATATTCCATTGTGTGGTTATACCAGTATTTCTTTATCTGTTCATTTGATGGGCACTTGTGTTGTTTACACCTTTTATCTTTTGCAGCTATGTACAGCGCAGGTTTTCAACGATCTTGAGCATATATTTAGGAGTGGAATAAGTAGGTCATATGTTTAACTCACTGAGAAACAAACAGTTTTTCAGAGTTGCTGTACCATTTTACATTTCCACCAGCAATGTATGGGTTTTCAATTTAGCTACTTCCTCATTATTACTTGTTACTTCCATGTTTATTATGACAGTCATTCTAGGAGGCACAAAATATCTCACTAATGATTTTACTTGTATTTCCCTGTTGGCTAATGATGTTGAGAATTTTTCATTTGTTTTTAATTTGATCATTTGTAAATCTATTTTATAAAACTTATTTAATTTATATAAAGAGGGCATTTCATATATACAATTTCAAGCTCATAATGATACTTCTCACCCTACCTCACACCCTCCTTCCTTCCTTCCTTTTTTTCCTTCTAACTTTTGTGATAACATACTTTCAATTTGCTTTATAATCACAAGCTTAATAAATAATTTAACTAGTAGAAAGTAGAAAAACTATCCAATGGGAATATAGACCAGAGATTTCAACAATAATCAAATCTCAAGATGCCAGTTTGGCTGAGTTGCATTCCATTGTGTATTTATATCACATTTTCTTTATTCAATCAACAGATTATGGACATTTGAGTTGATTGAATACCTTAGCTAATGTGAATTGAACTGCTATAAATGGGGGTACAGAAAACTCAGATGCTGATTACCACTGGGTAAATTCCAGGAATGAGATGGCTGGGGCACATGGTAGATTGATCTTCAGATTCTTGGTCAATTTTTAGCTAGATTAATTTTTTGTTATTATTGAATTGCAAGAATTCTTTATATATTCTAGATAAAAATCTTATGTCAGATATATGATTTGAAAATATTTCTATTATATTGGTTTTCTCTTCAGTTCTTAATGGTAGCCATTGAAACACAAATTTTGATTTTGATGAATGCAAATTTATTTTTTTCTTGTGTTGTTTGCTCTTTGTATCACAGCTAAGAAGGCTTCAACCAGTCATAATGATTCACTACTATACTTTATTCTAAGACTTACTCTGTTGTTTTTTTTTCCACAGGGAGTATTTATCACCATAAACCTTACCATGGAATTTATTGTTTACTGTTTATTTCCCATCTCTAGCCTAGTTTTATGTATATAAATATATGTGTCTCATTTTAATAGCACAAACATTTCAGATGTAACATTTGTTGTTGTAATCCTACTCCTACCGACATTTTTCTCCTCTATCTCACTGCTTTCACTTCATCTCAGTTAACAGAAGAAGTTCTCATGTTTAAATTCTATTTTAAAATTAAAATTTGGTTGTCTGTGCTGTGGTTTAGTAGGTAAAGCCACTGCCTGCAATGCCAGCATCCCATATTGGCACTGGTTCATGTCCTGGCTGCTCCACTTCCAATCTAGTTGCCTGCTGATGACCTGTGAAAAGCACTGAAATATGTCCCAAGTGCTTGGGCCCCGATACCCATATGGGAGACCTGGAAGAAGCTCCTGGTTTTGACCTGGCTCAACCCTCACCGTTGTAGCCATCTGGGGAATGAACCAAAGTATGGAAGATCTTTCTCTGTCCCTCACTCTCTGTAACTCTGCCTTTCAAATAAATAAATAAATAAATATTTTTATAAAAACTGATATTTGGTGTTTCCTCACTATTTGAGGTAACTGGCTCAAAAACCTCGATCATCAGGGATAGATTTTTCCTTTCTTTCCTCCCCTTTGCTAAGCTTCCCTTCACACAAAATTAGTTGCAAAAGATCTGCTGTTATCAACTCAAGCAGTTTGCTAGTGCCTTAACACACTTACAGCATTTGACACAACAGATAGAAAATGTATACAATAGATGTTTAGTTCTTTAAGAGTGTTCCTGCCACAGTCTCTTCCTTGTCTCCCATCTTTCACTTTCCTGGTCCCACGACAGCACCCATAAACCTATAGCAAAGAAGGTAGGGCCCAGATGAATTGTAAGAGTTAAAATCCCCCAGGTGTAATCAGTGATACCATCAATTCTAACAAAGTCATTTGTAAAGAGTATAATTCTCTGCCATCAGTAAAACACCTAGGGAGGAAAAAAATACTGTTGCTGCCATTTGACATCCTGTTTTCTTTCTTTTTATTTAAGGTTCATTATTTTACTTGAAAGGTAGTTTTAGAGAGAGATCTTCCATCTGCTGGTTCACTCCCCAAATTATCACAAAGGCCTGGGCCAGCTGAAGCCAGGAGCCGGGAACTTGATCCTAGTCTCCCACATGGGTGGCAGAGTCCCTGGTACTTGGGCCATTTTGGCTGCTTTATCAGGCTCATTAGGATCCTTCTTTCCAAAGAACAAAAACATATATTGCCCAAGAATTAGGTGATAGTAGAAGCCAGTCACTTCCAAAATTACAAAAAAAGGTAGTATTCCTCTGAAAGTAAGAACTTTTAATGCAAATATATTAAATTTACGTCACATTTACACTAGTAAATATAAACCACCTACTTTTACATGATACGTTGTAAATTTTGTTGAACAACATGTTATACCTTTATACATTTTGCTTTTATAAATAAAAATTGGGTTATTCCTGGATTAAAACATGTCACAGGGTTTGGAAAGTCTAAATTCCTTGTAAAAAGACAATGAAAAAACATTGCCAGTGACTAGCAAAGAAAAACATGTCTGGATTTCAAAGTAAGAATGAAATTGTGTACCAGGAATCCAAGCTCTGTCATTCTCTTCAGCCAAGCTGACTTTTATAATTATTATTTATTTATTTATTTTGAAAGAATAATAGAAAGAGAGGGAGCATACATACACATAGAGATGCACAGAGAAAGAGACTTTCCATCCACTGGTTCACCCCCAGATGGCTGCAACAAACAGCACTTGGCCAGGTCAAAGCCAAGGGCCTGGAGATCCATCTGGGTCTCCTACGTGGGTGACAGAAACACAGATACTTAGGCCACCTTCTGCTGCTTTCTACGCCATTAGCAGGGAGCTGGATCAGAGGAGGAGCAACCGGGATACAATCCAGAACCCATATGGGATGCCTACTTCACAGACAGTGGCTTTACGTGCTACACCACAATTCCAGCCCCATTCTCACACAAGCTTTAATTGATAACCTTTAAGCTGAAGATAGACAAGTAGTTCTTAAATTTGCTAATTTTCTGCGCAAATTTGAAAACTTAGTAGAATTTCCGTCCCTGGGAGTACTAGAGTTTGTGCACCAACTAAGGTTGTCACAGCTATTCCATGTATGTTATAACAACTATGCTGAGCTACAGTAGGTCTTTCCATGGTGGAGTCCTATAGAAATTATTTATGAATGCCAAAATGATAACACTAGGTTGTGTATGTAGAAGGAAACCCCTTATAATTATATTGCTAATGTACCTGATTCTGACACCTGTGCTGCAGGCAAGTTGCATTTATGTTAGCCTTTTTCTCAACTAGATTTTTGGGACCATTGATAAGTCTATATAATTTTTCACATCTGTTTGCTGTTGTGATAATTTATTGAGCATGTTGGTAATTTTTCTCTGCCTCCCCTTTAGCAAATGACAAGAAGATGGAAGGAGAAGCTTCCTATTACTTGGGATTAGCACACTTGGCTGCTGCAGAGTACGAGACAGCATTAACAGTAAGTTGAAATTCATTTCTGTCCTTGCTGTTTTTAATTTTTATTTCTTAACATGTTATTATCAGGCCAACAGAAATGGGTTGGGCCTATTGTCAGTGTGCCTGTTCACCAAGGTGAAAACAGAATCGCTATATGCTAGAAGCATTAAAGAAGCTGCTTTCATTGTTTATAGAAAACAGTACGAAAAATCACCATGAAATGCTTTAGGGAATATGAAACTTAAATGCATGGCATAGGATGGCCCTCTGTGTTTCCATATCAACAAAGACAAGAGGAAATTGATATAAATGACACCAAAAAAAAACTAAGTAGTAAAAATATTACCGTAACTTTATAATGCAATTAGGAGAAATTTTGCTTAGGAAAGAATGTGAGCCTCCAAGGCTGCAGAGTGAGTTCCATGGATACTATCTTTAGTATGGGGACTGGGGAGGGAGGCAGCAGAGGTGACGGGAAGCATTTGGGCCCAGTCTAAGAAGTAAATTGTTTCATGATAGCATTAGTGTTTGCATATTTCATGACAAGGCTTTGTTGGTCTGTCTAAAAACAAACTAAAATTAAGACCTAGCTTTGCTATATTGTAACTGAAGTCATTTTTCTTCTCTTCTTCTCTTACCTCTAGTATATTTAAAGTGTAGCTTCCTACTTCATTTCACATACCCCTGTTTTAATAACTCTACTGATGAGAAGTATTTGGCTTACTTTTTAGTGTTGAAGATATTATTTGCTCCTTTAAATCTTTATGCTGAGTAAGATTCTGGTACTTGGGTTTGGTATATTTTTCTAGCACTGTTACAACTGGTTGTCGTGGGAGACAGGTTTTCTGAGACAACGCTTCTGTTCAGTAGTTTTCAGCTAATAATAGGCTTTCAGCAAAGCTTTTTCATGTATCTTGGGGAACATAAAGACCAAAAAGATGCACATATATCCTCAGGACCTAATTTAATGAGAGCTATCAGCTTATAAATATAACTGTAATTCAAAGCTGGATGAACAAGTGGTTTCTGAGTGTGAGATGAGAGTAGTTGGTTCCAAAATCAAGAATAGCTTTTGGAACTGTAGACATACACAGACACACACACACACACACACACACAGATTCACACACATTCACTTGCTGAACATGAAGATATTCAGTATTTTGGGGAAAGCAATGAATTGTCAGGTGAAAGATGAAATGTGGTAGGAGTCTAAGTGAGGAAAATGGTGTAAATTAGCTCATCTCTTTCTCTCTCTCTCTCTCTCTCTCTCTCTCACACACACACACACACACACATAATACAAGTACATGGCAAAGTAAATCCAAAGAACACCACAATACAGCTTATAATGAAAAATGAATCCTCTTTCCACCCTTGTACTCAATTTCACAGTTCTTTTCCTAGAGACAAATATAACTACAAAATTTCTGGCTTATTTTTCCAGAAGATTCTATATTTGAATATGTATAACATATACTTGTAAGGACATATACTTATATGTCCTTTTCATTGTTTATAAAAGGCTAAAGTTTTATGCACACTATTCTGCATTTTGAGTTAAATTCTTTCATAGTAATGCATACAAATTCATTTTGTAAGTTTCTAACATTTTTCAGCTCTATTTCGAGGTACAATCAATGGATAAATATGGTGTATACTTAAGATGCAAAATGTGTTTTGATATATGTATATGTTGGGAAATGATCCCCCAATCAAGCTAATTGACCTATACAACTGCTTACGTTTTTACCTTCTTTGTCTCTGAGAGCACTTAAGATCTATTCTATCATAAAATTTCAAGTACACAATACATTATTAACCATAGACTTGCTTCATCTTAAAAGGGCTGTATCATATCCCATTGTATGGCTGTACCATAATGGATTTAACTATCTCTCATTGTGGGGCATTAATGCTGTTTTCAATAATTTTTATTGCAAAGGGTGCAGCAGTAAACAACTTTGTCGAATGTGACCAATTTATTCATAGAATAAGAGTCCTAGGGATAGAAATATTGGTGTGTCCTATATTCTAGTCTTAGTATAGTCTATTAATGAATGGATTGAAGAAGCAGTATTTCATAACAAAGTTGATGAATTTCTTGCGATTGTGACTCCTTTCAGAAAATACTAAAATTGTTTTTCTGGTTATAATTGTTAATTTCATGTCTATAGCCTATTAACTAATGTGACTTTGGGAAAGTTCCTTAAGCTCTTAATTGCCTCTTCTATCCAGTAGGACTAATAACTATGCTTATGTTATAGAGTAGAATGTTTATAATGCCCTGCCACCACCACCACAAGATCCATTTCCTAATTCCTGGAACTTGTGAATATAGATGTAATTGAGTTATGGATCGTAAGGTGAGGTGATCATCCTGCATTATCTGGGTGGGCTCTAACTCCAAAGACAGCAGCCTTGTAAGAAAAAGGTAGAGGGAGATTTGAATCAGAAGACAAGAACTTCACACAGAAGAAAAGACCATGGGAAGACCAGGACAAAGAATGCGGAAGACAAGGCAAGGAATGCCTGGACCCACCAGAAGATGGAAGAGGCAAGGGAGTGTCCTCCCCTGGAATGTTCAGAGGGAGTACGACCCTGCTGACACCTTGGCTTCTGACTTCCAAGCAATAAAAGAATAAATTTCTGTATTTCTGTTATTTCGAGTCATTTGGTTTGTGGTAATTTGTTATGTCATCCCTAGGGAGGTAATTTATGTGGTAATTAAAAGAGCTAATTTATGCAAAGTTTTAGATTAGTACATGCCTGGTATGTAATAAACCTTCAATAGTAATTTGATTTCATTATTGTTGCACTAGTCTGAGTTTCTAGACATAAGTAGTAGTAGTGAAGAGGGAGAGAACTAGATGGATTCAAGAGTTGCAAAGGAGATGGTAATGGACTTATGAAGGAGACAGAGGTGTCTAAATGGGCTCTTGGTTTCTGGCTGTGGAACATGGCAGGTGCCGGTGTGAGTAATTTTATAGGTATCTGGGGAGAGTTCAAGTAGATGGCTAAGTAGGTGAGTCTGGAGCTCAAGAAGTCTACATGGGTGGTTCTGTGCATGGCAGGTAATTTTATGGATCAACTTGCCTGGGTTGTAGAATGTCCAGATAACAGGTTAAGCATTAATGCTGGGTATATCTGTGGGAGATCAGCATTTTAATTGGTAGACTGAGCAAAGCAGATTGCCACCACCATCCCCCCAACCCAATATGGATGAGCATCTTCAAATCCATTGATGGTCAACCAGACTCTTTGAGCACAAGCATTGATTTTCTCGTGCCCTCAGCACTGTAGATGTCAGGTCTTCAGACCACATCTGGAATCTATACCACTGGCTCTGCCGCTCTTAGGCTTCAGTCTATACCACCAGCTTCCCTGGGCTTCCGGCTTGCACATGGCTGAGTCTCCATGAATACTTGAGCCAACACTGAAAATAAATTTCACTCACTATATATTAATATTATATTATCACATGGTACATTATATATTTTATTAGAATATTTTGTATTATGTGTACATATATATATATATATGAAAAGCTATGAGAGCATACACTTGTTTTAATACATTTAGTTTATGATGGTGTGTTCCATCAACTATGGGAACTAATACATATGGTGATTATAAGAGATTTATGTATATGTCCCATCAATTTTATTTCTCTGGAGAATCTGGGCAGTATACTCTACCCATTTGAAAGTGTTCAGCATACTGAGGCTGTGGAATAAATAAAATTTGCTAGTAAGAGGTAATAGTAAAGAGAGAAAAAAGCCTAGGACAATGCAAGGTGCAGGAGTGAGATATAAAGGAGGGTAAGCAGGTATATCCAGGAAGGTAGAAGGAGAACTGCATAGATGATGATCTTACATGAACCAGAAAACCAGGTGTGCCTTAAAGACAGAAATGTACAAAATAAACCTGAAACCTAGCTTTGGCTTCATATTGGAAGGCAATATCTTTTAATTTTCCCTAATATCTCTTTTTTTAGGTTTTATTTATTTATTTTAAAGGCAGAGTGACAGAGAGGAGAGACAGAGATCTTTAATCTGCTGACCCATTCCCCAGATGGCCCCAACATCAAGGATTGACTCAGGCTAAAGCGAAGAGCCAGGAACACCATTCAGTTCTCCCACATGGGTGACAAGGGCCCAAACACTTGGGCCATCTTCTGCTTACCTTCCCAAGAAAATTAGCAGGTAGTTGGATCAGAAGTGGGACAACCAGGACTTGAACTGGATGCTGGTGCCACCAATGACTGCTTAGCCAGCTGCATCACAGTGCTGCACCTCCCCTCCCCATCTTATTTTAGCCACTTTTCCCGCTTCTTTAAGAAGTAAAAGGTCATTCTTCAGATATTATCTGTCTCCCCTTTTACTTTTTATGGTTTGGGACCCTGTAAAGGTAATTTTGATTTATGGGAGTATTTCAAAAAGTTTGTGGGAAAATGGAAAGTAAAAATATGTTTAATTTGATATCAAAAATTTGAAATCCGTGTATAACTTTTTAATAATATATATTCCATCAACTTTGTGAGTACTCTGCGTATGACGTGTGCAATTTACAGCATGTCTTTCTCTGTGGCCTCACTTTTCTGATGACCTTACTTCCAGTATACAAAACGTCCATTGCAACCTACACAGCACAGAGAGCTCCTTATTTAGTGAACATAGTATTTTACAAATACAATAAAAGTAATTAATTACCTAAATAAATGAGATGTTCCCTGGTTGTTGATTGCTTAATTGATTGATCAGAGACCAGTTATCTAATCATTAAGTAAATGTTCAATACATTAAAATAATTTTTAAAAAACTTCTTTTATTGGGACTGGACTGCCGGTGTGGTGTAGTAGGCTAAGCCTCCTCCTGACAGCCAACATCCTGTCTGGGTGCCAATTCATGTCCCAACTATTCCTCTTCTGATCAGGCTCTCTGCTATGTCCTAGGAAAGCGATGGAAGATGTCCCAAGCGCTTGGACCCTTGCAACCAGTGTGGGAGACCCGGAAGAAATTC